TTGCTCGACTGGATTGGGTTATCATTCCAGTTCGCTTTGTGGAATTCCCGTCACATGAACATGCACTTCACGCAACTTAGCAACAGGTAAACTCGACAAAAGAGCTGGACTACTCCTTTCCCCTTAGTTTATGGGCTACCGATTCCAATCAATCATGTTTTTTGGAGTTTAAAGAAAAAAATTAGGCAAACACTTTCAAAATGAAATACATTTATAAATAACGGTGGCATTAGCTGAATTTACCGTAACTGATTGCAAGATCGCGTTCGTCGTCTGCCCATTGATATTCTAAATGAAAATAGAGATGCGAAGAGAATGTAGACATTCTATTATGTGTATAAAAAATCAATAAATGCTCTCATTGTAAGAAAAAAAGAGACTATTTGTTTTCAGATCCGTTGTAGTTGATTTTGTGGGTGTTGTTCGTGGTGCGTAAAGAATAAGTCTGAGTAGCAGCCAGTTAAAATCACTAATAAAAATTTCCGACCCCACACAAGAAATCGTGAACTAAAAGTGAAGATGATCGATGAGGAACAAAATTTAATATATATTACAATATGTGGTACTTGAATGACTTCCCCTGAAAGCATGAGGTCTGTGTCGCCGTTCTTCTCGCTTTTCAGGTAAGTGTTTGAACAACCTTCTTCCAGTTCATTGATATACTACCGAGCATCCAATCATGGCATTGATTCATCAACGAACCGGTTCCGAAAGGCTTGTGGAAACCTTTATATATATTTTGCACACATCGAACTAGTCTCACCTACCCGTAGGTTTTGATCACTGCCGATGGCAAGAGTTAAGTGTTAAGTGTTAAATTGGTAGATGATCCCATCACAATGATTCCATCCGATCCTACCCTCGACTAGACACCTCAGCTCGTAGCGTTTCTCGTGAGATATGCCTGAACCGGTGAAATAAACATTTCCAATGGAGAACCAATTGTGTTAATAGGGAAATTCACTACTCCGTTAAACCAGCAACGAGAATTGAAATCTCGTCCGAGAGTTCATGTGCAAATGGGTTAGTGTGACGCATGGGTGAGAGAGAAGAAACCTGAATAATAGATTCAGGTTATGTTTGATTAAAACAATGACAAGTTTGTCGACAGGCGAACACACGAGAAAGAGAAATCACTCACCACGGAAGCCAGAAGTCAAAAAGTCGAACCGGATTCGGTATAAGGGGAGGGAGCGTAACCACTGCAAGGGTAGGGACAGTCACACCTATCAGGGTAGCGTGGGTTTGGGGTGTCATACTTGCTCAACTCATCCCCCGCGCTAAGCTCCCGTCTGTCTCATATGTACAGACTTCCTAAAATACACAAATATGANATATGATATTCCTTTACGGCTCGTATGTCACTCCACCAAAAGCTAACGCGATGGCTGACCAGACTCATTCCAACAAAAGCTTTTTAATTACACTCTGAAATTCTTGACTGATTTTGTTGAAAAATATCTCATTTGATATTCACTACTTTTCCTCTTTGTGAAACTGTCAACATTGTCTGTTCATTGACCAATGAACCCAATATCCATCATGCTGTCTCCGAAAATTGCTGC